GTTGCAGTTTTTCTGGGAGCTCAGGGCAGATGGAATAATCAGCTGCAGATGCCAGTACCGGTACAGGAGCCGGCATCCACTGCCAACTCCACCGTGCACCATGCTTCCTCCGCCCTTGACATCCCGGAGCTCGCGCACACAACAGTGGCTTCGCTCACCGGTGGCTATTGCAATACAGCGGGGTCGCCGTTGCGGCCGGACACAATGACTCGGCCTTCTGCGAATGAGAATGATGCTACACGAGATGCTGGAACCTTTGATGGAGGAAGCAGTTATATGCATGATGAGAACGAACCACCAGCTGCTGCGACACAGTTTGGCCCCGAAGGGCTCAATAGTATGGATTGATGATAAGAGCTCATCATCCAGTAGTCTTCAGTCACCTAGAGGATGGGCCAAAGGCCTTAGCAACCACAGAGTTGCCGGGCGCTTAGCGCTTGTCCTTCGCGAGGCATCGGATCGGGTGCAGCGTGTGAATTGAATTACTACTACTACTACTACTACTACGACTACTACTACTACTACTACTACTACTACTACTATTACTCCTGCTGCTGCTGCTGCTACGACTAGTAGAAGAAGAAATTCGTTGCTATTGTTATCATTCTCACTATCTTATGTTCAGGGTTTAGGTGGTTTTTTGCCTCCGTATTTAGGGCTCCGGGCTTAGGTTCCCACGGCGGACAGCGCCGACCTCTGGCGCACCTGGAGCGAGGCCCTTGGTTCCGACGAGGAAGTTCTAAAGAAGCAGCTTGCTCCAGCCTTGGACTTTGCACCTCGGCTGCGCCCCAGCGAGGCCTAACACCCAAATCGAAAGCCTCAAACTCTGAACCTTTAATTCTTGGCTCTTTCTGCTGCGTTTAAGCGTGGCGCTTCACAGAGCTTGCAAGGGCTTTGGGGGCGTTTTCGGAACGTTTCGGTAGTGACAGTTCGAAAGCCTACTTGGCCAGTTGGGTCGGAGATAGGAACACTGGCTTCTTGTCAAGGAACTGATGCAAGTCGCAATCAGAAAACCGTATAAAACCAAAGTATCTACGGAAAAGACCCCTTTTACCGTAGAGTGAGCTCCTTAACAAGGACCCAGAAGTACTTTCGTAGTCAGCAAACCCATATTATTTGCTATACCCCCTAACCCTAAACCCTATACCCTCAACCCTATACCCCCTAACAAGAGCCCAGAATATGCCGGGGAGTTTCTCGGAAGCTGAGGGCCTTGCAGCCCGGTCCCATTTTAGGCCTCAGAAAAAGGGTCAGGAAGAGTGGGTATTTAGGGTCGAAACGAGGGTCGAAACGAGCCTAGAAGGTATTTTCCGAAGTTCCGAAGCTTAGAGGAAGATACAAAAGAACGAGGTCTTGGAAGCCATCCTGCGCATGCAGAAGGCTCTGGACCCGGTTTGCAAGCAGACGTCGCGACTGACACAGGTAGCTTCGCTGGGCGAACTGGTGCGCAGTTGCGTTCCAGCAGCTCTCTTTCCTCGACTGCCCTTGACCCAAGCCCGCTTGGAAAGGCATTGGCCCATCAAGCCAGCCCAGGCACCGAAGAAGAAGCTGAGCTTGCTGACGCAGACGTCTGCATTGAAACCCTGCACTGCTTCCGGCTATGCGAGCTCCCAGGGGCAAGGCTTCACGAAATTCATCACGGAGACATCTCCATGTGACAAACAAGCGTAGTCTTGCAGCATGAGTGTTTACACGTAGTGCATGCGTGGATGCACGTGATTATGCATGTTTGGTGAGATGTTTGTTGATGTCACATCAGGACGCGCGAGCTAGAGTTTTCCATTGTGCAGTCATTAGTCTACATCTAGGGCTCGAGGCAGCACAGATTGCGGAGTCTCTGCATGCCGGCGGCCTGTTTCTGAAGTACAGCTGTACAGCTCGGCCGGGAAGCAGCGGGCAAAAACTGGCTTCGCGAAGAAGACTTGACTTGAAGTGAGACCCTGAATCCTGCCTGATATAACCCCTAAGTAGCAGGATACTTCTTATGAGGACCGCTAAATGATGTATGCCTGATTTTCATAAATCCCCGAAGAGTGTCCATAGGCTAGGGCTGTAGGGCCTTAGGCTTCAGGGGGATCGGGATCTGGGATTTAGAGTTTTTTTTGAGCTTTAGAGCCCCAGTAGCATTTGGGCCAGGGTTGCACCTGATTTAGGGGATCCTGATATTAAGACCTAGTTGGTTCGGTTTAGGGTTTAGGGTTTGGGAGGCTGTTAATTTGGCAGTCTTCTTGCTGACTGAATGCAGCGCGGGGGATTCGTACCGAGAAGTAAACCATCAACCGTCTTTGACTGTGCTGCTTGGGATGGCCCCGCCGGTCTAGGGGTTTAATTAACGAAAAGCTTTGTGTAGCAGCGTTGCCTGAAGACTGCTCAGAACTTTTACTGGGCAAGACTTCGCAGTTGGAATGCTCCCTTATTGTTTTCCTAGCCAAGCCGGGGTGCAGTGTGACAGGGGTGTCGTTATGGCAGTATGGGATTCGCAAACCCAACGATGGCCAGTTGTCGATGAGCTACCCGATGGAGAACGGCGAGATCGAGAATTTCGCATCTCTGGCTCAAAGACTCGAGCATTAGGAGTCGTGGCGTGTTGTGATGCTTGAGGGCATTTTGCAAGTCACTGAAGCTGCATCTCTAGAGTAAAAGTTTAACCATACTTTGTTTGGGGTACTATAACCCCTCTATAGTACTACATGCACCATCCATTCTCAGTAGTACCGTATGTAATCCCTAAACCCTAATCCCAAAGATGAGCCTTGAGTCTTCGTTTGGGACACTGGGCAAGTACGGTCTCATTCCTGGCTTGGGGTGTTGCAAGAACCCGGTTTAGGCTTTAGGGTCTAAGGTTGGGAGACCCCTAAACTGTAATCGAAGGGGGATAGTGGGGCCTTGTTAAGTAGAATAGGCTTTCTCTAAGTCCCTTTAAGAATTACTGAAAGGCTCTACTTTTAAGGCCACCGAGGTTTGTGGTTTGGGGCTTTGGAGTGTAGCGTTAGGGCTCAGGGTGCAGGGATTGGGCTTTCAGGCCTACCCTATAAGACCTTACAAGCCCCTTCAAGCCCCCACACAGCCTCATAAAAGCTACAAGCCCGCATCCCCAAACCCTAAAACCCCAATCCCAAAACCCTAAACCCTAAACCCTAAAACCCCAATCCCAAAACCCTAAACCTAACCCTAAACCTGAAATCCCTCCCTTAGCATTCGAGGATGACATCGAGAAGCTCTGGACCTACATCTTCGAAGAGAAGCTCAAGGCTGGGCAGCTGCTGGGTTCAGGGCTTAGGGGTTTAGGGATTTCGGGTTAGGGGTTTTAGGGTTTAGGGTTTAGGGTTTTAGGGTTTAGAGTTTGGGATTTAGTGGTTTAGGGTTTAGGGTTTTAGGGTTTTAGGGTTTTAGGGTTCAGGGCTTAATTAGGGGTTTAGGGTTTTCGGGTTCAGGGGTTTGGGGATATGGCGTTTAGGGTTTCATAGGGTTTATAAGGTTGCACAAAGCTTTATCGGGTTTTCTAATAAGGCTTGATAAGGCTTTTATACGGCTTTCTCAGGCGTGACGGGGGGGTTTTGAGGGTGGAGGTTTAAGCTTCTGTGGGAGCAGGTAATCTTTACAGTGGCTTTGCGGTGTATAGGGCCGTCATAGTTAGAATGTAGTTTTGAGATAGATCGTATTAGAACTCGGTAGGGGTTGTTTGTTTGATAGTTATCCAGGCCCCCTACGTTGGAGAAACTTGACGGAAGGCCTGCATCCTAGATTTCAGAAGACTCCAGCATCCTCGGTTCCCCACTAGTAATACTGTTGATGATATCAAACCCTGCATGGTCTTAAGGACCCGAAACGATGGGAGTTATGGCATATTCCTTGTTATGGGTAGTGCAGGATTTATGTCATCAACCGTAGTACCCTTTTGCCCTTTTTTCTTTTTGGGGTCCTGTCTAAAACGAAAGAGCAGGAAAACGGTGCCCCGCATTATTAAGGGGCTACTGGGGAACCTAGAATCGCAAATGCTTACAACAATGCGTTTAGACAAGAAGGGCCTTTGCAAGATCCCCCCCCTGAACCCCACAGCCGCAATCCCTAAGCCCCAAACCAAACCCTAAACCCCTGAACCCCTAAACCCCCAACCCTCCACCCTGATGTTAGACTTTGGGTGCCCCTAAACCCTACAACCCTAAACCCTAAAACCCCAAAACCCTAAACCCCTAAATCCCAAAACCCTAAACCCTAAACCCCTAAACCCTAATGTTTGACTGCACCCTAAACCCTACAACCCTAAACCCAAACCC